TCCGGACCTGAGGGTGGGAGGCTGGTGCCGTCCTAGGCTCTCCCTCCCCTGACTCTGAGAGAGCTGAAGTCCTGTCTCATGGGCCACCTGCTTCCAGGGGTCCCACAGCCTCAGATTTCTTCTCCAATGATCACAGCAGATCCTCTCCTGGAGCCCTGGCCTGCAGGCCCCACTTCCCTGGCCTGAGAGGGCTCCTGAGGAATAAACACAGCTGCCGCCACCCATGCCATGCCTGGCAGCCGCCTGGATTTTCAGCTCTCTGGGTGCTCGGGGTGGGGCTGCTCCCCACGGGTGGCACCTCCTTGTCCTCGCACTCTCTCCCCTCCCTGTGCCCAACACCCACCTTAGGGCGAGGCAGGCCGGACAGCCAGTCCTTGTGGAAGTCTGCAAAGCAGCAAATAGGCACTTTTCCTTTTCTCTTCCACATTTTCACTGATTTGGCAGGAAAAATGGTGTTTTGTTTTAGGAATGATGATCACCGGATGAGCTTTTCACCGGGCAGCCACAGGATCGAGCTCCGAGGGCCACGTCCTCTTCCTCCCTCCTGGTCAGAGCCTCGCGCCCCCAAGGTGGCCATTGCTTCCCGCGATTGCTTTATTTTTCTTTTACTTTTTCAAAGGCTTCCTGGCTTTCTACCTGGTTATTCGATATTATTTGATAATCATGCTGTCCTATCAGACAAAGACTTGCATGGATTTTTATTCGAATAGGGTGAACCTAGATGTAGTTTTGGAATTAAGTTTTATGATTTTCTTTTCCTTAAAAACATAATGCATTGTTTTCCAGTTGTTGCTGTAACAAATTACCACAAATAGCACACATTATTTCGACGTTCAGGAGGGAGGAGGTTGGGGCAGGGCTGGCTTCTCGCGAGGCTCTGGGGGAGATCCACCTCCAGCCTTTCCAGCTCCTCTCGGCAGCCTGCGTCCTCGGGCTCCTCAAAGCCAGCAGTGCCGCCTCTTTGAATCTCTCTCATCTTGGCCTCGGTCGCTGTGTTCCGACCCTGACCCTCTGGCCTCCCTCCTCTAGGGCCCCTTGTGATGACACTGAGTCCACCAGCTAAGTCTCAAGATCCCTCTCACTCATCACACTTGTGAGCCGCTTTTCCCACGACAGGCGGCCTGCACAGGGACCCTGAGTGCGATGATGCAGACACAGTCGGGGCTGACGTCATTCAGCTGACTCTGGATGGCACACCTGCTATTATTTTTCTTTCTATGTCCCCATACAGTCGTGTAATTTTCTGCAGGTAACTCTTTCCATTGTATGGCAACAATCCTGCCAAACATGTAGGTTTTCTGCCTCTACAATGAAAGGTATTAGGATTTTTTTCCCTCTACTGATTATTGCTACCATATAGAAAAACTACTGATTTATTTACATGATCAGGTTTTCAACAACTTTACACAGAAGTCTTTTATGAATTCTCGTAGATTTTCCTCTTATTTTCTGGAATTTTCTTGGTATTCAGTAATTGCATCAACAAACCATGATAGTTAGAGCCTCCATGCCATAATTAGAGTCCAGCATCTTGAGATTCCATGCCATAATTAGAGTCCACAATCTAGAGCCTCCATTAGAGTCCACAATCTAGAGCCTCCATGCCATAATTAGAGTCCAGCATCTAGAGCCTCCCTGCCATAATCAGAGTCCACAATCTAGAGCCTCCATGCCATAATTAGCACCCAATATCTAGAGCTTCCCTGCCATAATCAGAATCCAGCATCTAGAGCATCCCTGCCATAATTAGAGTCCAGCGTCTTGAGATTCCATGCCATAATTACAGTCCACAATCTAGAGCCTCCATTAGAGTCCACAATCTAGAGCCTCCAATCTAGAGCCATAATTAGAGTCCAGCATCTCGACTGCTTTCTGCATTCCTAGAGGTTCTACAGAGTCCATGCACAACGGTGGAAGAGCGGTTCTGTTTCAGGTTTTAATTGCTACACTTTAAAATTTCCTTTAAAGAGTTTCTTCCATATGAATTGTGCCTGAATGGGTGGAGGTAGGTGGCAGGCGGCAGTTCTCTGAGGACTGGGGTCGGGGAGGGTCTGAGCCACTTCTCTGAGCTCCCACAATCCCTAGCTCCCTCCTGGTTTCCATCTTCGTTGGGGGACTGGCATCTCTGAGTCGTGGGGGTGCAGGCACCCTGCTCTCTCATGTTCTCAGAACCTTTCTCCCTGGACCCCTCCGTCCCTTGGCCTGCGTCCTGTGCCCAGCAGAGGCTGCCCGTGGTCCAGGAAGACAGAGGGGCACCATCTTCCTTCACGGAGGTATTTCCTTCAAAGTAGAGCCAGGCAGTGTGATTGTCATAACTGAGTCTCCAGGCTATGGAACATAAAATATTTATATCTATATCAGGGAAGACAGATTAATCCAATAATGAAAACAGTCTGGAGACCGCACCAGCTCTTCTATTTATGAGGGCTTCCTTTTGGGGAGCACCAGTGTGGGATCAGGGGCTCGCCTCTGCAGCCTCTTTGCAGGGAGCTGTCCTCGGCCTTCCTCCCTGTCACCCTTGACGTGCTGCGGGTAGACAGCCCAGGCCATCTGACAGGTGTTCGGGGGCGAGCGCTCTGGGTGGGCAGCCCCTCAGGACTGACAGCCTGGCGTGGGCCCCTCCAGAGGTCACTCGCAGCCACCTTTTCTGCTCTTCCTGCCTCACTGTGAGCCCTCTGCTGGCATTGCTGTGGATGGGAGGCTGAGCTGGTGCTTCTTTGCCTCTATCCTAGAGAGCCAGGGCCAGGGAAAGCACGCATGGGCAGCTGCAGGGCCAGGGAACGCACGCATGGGCAGCTCAAATCCTACTGGGGAGCTTCTCGAGGAAGGAGACTTCACATCAGACTTACCACAGAAAGCAACTTGCAGAAAATGTCAGTGGCAACTTCTCTCCTCCCACATGGCTCCCTTCCTGGCTCCTTCTCGGGGCATCTGGCTGACCACTCATCTGCCCCTTCTTCTACCAGTGCTTTGGGAAAAACCGTAAGTGGGAATGTTTGGATTTGGCCCCCACCCCATATGAATCTCTCACCATCTCCTGTTTTCCCTCTAGCATGGTCTCAACCCCCCACATGCCTGTAATTTCCTTAGAAACTGGGAACAGAAACAAGCTATTTTCTTTTTTCTTTTTTTTTTTTTTTTTTTTTCAGACAGAGTCTCACTCTGTCGCCCAGGCTGGAGTGCAGTGGCACGATTTTGGCTCACTGCAAGCTCTTCCTTCCAGGTTCACACCATTCTCCTGCCTCAGTCTCCCAAGTAGCTGGGACTGCAGGCACCTGCCACCACTCCCGGCTAATTTTTTTTGTATTTTTAGTAGAGACAGGGTTTTACCGTGTTAGCCAGGATGGTCTCGGTCTCCTGACCTTGTGATCCACCAGCCTCAGCCTCCCAAAGTGCTGGGATTACAGGCGTGAGCCACTGTGCCCAGCTGAAACAAGCTATTTTCTAAAGATGTGTTAGTTCTCTTAGCAAATCAGCCCTGAGACTCCTGATCAAATAGCTGTGTGTATCTGTATCTGAGTATGTTCATCTCTGCATTCCTGTCTGCAGTGGTCATCTCAGTACCCATCATTCATGGTGTGTAACCAATCACTCCAACATGTAGGTTTAACACTGAAGTAAAGCAGCAGGCAGGTTTTTTCTTACAATTATGTCGTCAGCAGTTTGGGCTGAGCTCAGTCGGGTGGTTCTTCTGCTGGTCTCATCTGAAGTCACTTTCTGACTGCATTCATCTGGCAACTTGATGGGCAGTTGGTGCCGGACATGGGCTGTGTGGCCTCTTCCATCTGGAGCTGTGGTCCACGGGAAGCAGAGTGGATCTTTCAGACTCCTGAGATCTTGTCTTGTGTGTGCATGCCTGTGTGTGAGTGCATGTGTGTGCATGTGAATGTGTGCATGTGCCTGGGTGTGAGTGCACGTGTGTGCATGTGCATGTTTGCATGTATCTGGGTGTGAGTGTATGTATGTTCATGTGTGTGTGCCTGCCTGTGGTGCATGTATGTGCATGCGTGCATTTCTGCATGCCTGCGTGTCAGTGCATGTGTGTGCAGGTGTGCATTTGCCTGGGTGTGAGTGCATGTATGTTCATGTGTGTGTGTGCCTGGGTGTGTGTGCATGTGCATGCATGTTTGTGCCTGGGTGTGAATGCATGTGTGTGCATGTGTGCGTGTGTGTGCAAGTGCATGTGTGCATGTGTGTGGTTGTGTGTGCATATGCATGTGTGTGTGTATGCCTGGGTGTCAGTGCATGTGTGTGCATGTGTGCCTGGGTGTGAGTGCATGTGTGCATGCATGGGTGTGAGTGCATGTGTGTGCATGTGTGTGTGCACCTGGGTGTAAGTGCATGTGTGCATGTGTGTGTATGCATGGGTGTGAGTGCATGTGTGTGCATGCCTGGGTGTCAGTGCATGTGTGTGCATGTGTGCCTAGGTGTGAGTGCATGTGTGCATTCATGGGTGTGAGTGCATGTGTGTGCATGTGTGCGTGTGTGTCTGCATCTGGGTGTAAGTGCATGTGTACATGTGTGTGCATGCATGGGTGTGAGTCCATGTGTGCATGTGTGTATGCCTGGGTGTGAGTGCATGTATGTGTGTGTGTGCCTGGGTGTGAGTGCACGTGTGCATGTGTGTGCATGCATGGGTGTGAGTGCATGCATGTGGACACGTGCCTGTGCATCTATCTCATCAGGCATGGGGAGAATCATGGAATTAGTTTGTAAAGAGTTTCAGGAGAGCCCCGGTCTCATGGATGCTGTCCTGGTTGGCATGAGCATCATGACCCCCTCCAAATGTCCCCAGGACAGGCTCTGCCGGAGTCTTGGCCTGGGTGAGGGGCTCTTCTCTCTGAGGACAGCATGGGCGGCACCTCAGGTCCACTCACAGGAGTGGGAAAACGTGGGCTGGATGAGTTTTGCTCCAGTTCCGGGGCTTGGCACCTGGTTTACTAAGAAAATCAATGAGCAGTCCTGCTCCTTGGATGATCCTTTTCATCTTTTATTCCCAGATTTCCCAGGTGTCTGATGTGTGCCAGTTTCCAGGCTGAAGATGAATACGAGTGGGCCCGCCTAGTCTGAAAACTGAGTTGCTGTTTTAAAAGGGACTTCAGAAACTTCAGACCTTCTGGGGCACACACGTGGGTCATGTGACCCTTTCCACCCACTCCACTTAGGAAGCCCCAAACCCTCTAAGGAGCAGGCTGTGTCGGTTCTCCTAAGGAGCTCCCAGGCACCCTGCTGTCCTCGTTGGCGGAACAGCCCGGCCTGGTGGATGGTATTGTCCCGCTTTCCAGAGGAGAAAGCAGAGGGTTTGGGGAGTCTGCTCTAAGTTACACAGAGCTGCTGCAAGATTTAGGATTAGAACTCGGTGTCTGGAACAGCCGCTGACCTCAGAAGTTAGGTTCCAACACAATTGCCACAAACTCCGTGTCTCTGAAACCCCACATGGGTGATGCTTCCAAGGGGTTTGCAGCCTCCAGCCAGAGTCGTTGATTGTGCTGAGTGGGAAAAAGGGTCAAAATAAATGTGTGCTACCATCGTGCTCCCACGTGTCATCGATCAATGGCTTAGATTTTTGGGGAGTAGAATGTGCTGTCTACACTGGTGCTGCTGCCGGTCGGGGAGCTCAGGCACTGGGCGGCCCTCAGGGGAGCAGCCCTTGTTTTCTCGTGGGGTCCACTGTGAGATCTGCTTTACCTGGGTCCTTCCTGTCAGTGCCTGCTGACCTCAGCCACCCTGTCCCAGTCCCTCCTGATGGTCCCTTCCCTGCAAGCTTGCCAGCTCCTCCTCTCAATCTCACTGTCCACATCTTAGGGCAATGACGTCAAAGTGATCTCCAGGGCTCGGGAACACGCCAGTGAATTTCTGCAGGCTTCCGGAAACTGGGCCACATGGGTGCAGTCAGCGTGGGGGGCCACGGCTTTCTATGGAAGTTAAAGCCTTTGCATTTTCATGCTGATGCAAATGTAAACACATGCACACACCTGCACACATGCACCACACACGCGTGTACATACCCACCACATACATACGTGTGCACACACTCACAGCACATAGGAACTGCCTTGCAGGCGAGCTTGGTGTCTGCTGAGCTTGGTCTCTTCTCAGGATTGTAAGCCTTTGCCCATGACACGGCACACACCAGACATGTCCAGCTGCTCGTCCAGGCAGGGCCCTGCCTCGCGCTGCCGAAGGTGCTCCCAGAAGGAGGGTGCAGTGATGCCAAGGGGGGAAGTGATGGGACAGAGTCCCGGAATGGTGATTTGGTGTCAGCAAAACCATATCATCTGCCACATTGAATTTATATTTTTAATTTGAATTTTGTTGCTGTTATAGTTTTGTGTTTAATTTATTAATGTGTTTTGTTGTTAAAGCCATATAAAAGCAAAAAGCAAGAGTTTATGTCTAGTTGAATGTTTGTACATATTGAAACAAGATTATAACAAAACAATTCTCAGTCCGTGCTGGGGGTGAGAAGCTGTGTTTCCATGTTCTTCTATTGCCTGTATTTTAAGGTGCCCTTCAAAGGCCTAGGCCTTAAGCCACGGTTGGCAAATGCCCCAGGCGCGACCTCGCCCCTGGCGGTTCTGTCAATCAGGTTTTCCTGGGATTCAGCCACGTCATCCCAGTGTTTCCTGCACCTGCTTTCATGCTGTGGTGGTGGGCGAGCTCCTGCAACTCAGGCTGTGGGGTCCACAAAACCTGCAATTGTTTCTGGCTCTTAGAAAGGCATCTGGGAACCCCAACCTTAAACAACAGGTTTTCTAAAGCTGGCTGGACCTCAGAATCAACCAGGGAAATTCAACACAAAACAAAAATACAAGGCCAGGCCCCAGGTCCTGCTCTGGAAACCACTTTGGAATCAGCAGGGGACTGTGAGTGCCGAGTCCTCTGCATGCTCCCAGGTGATCCCAGGACTGTCGCGACTGCCCTGGTCCCTCAGAAGACCTGGAGGCGACGCCCCAGCCTGTGGCAGGCCCAGGAGAAAGCGTCAGCCACTACCCAGACCAAGGATGGGGCCACCCGGACCCCCGTCACTGCACCATTAGCACAGGCTGGAGGCCCACCTCTGACCCCACATCTGGTGGTCTTTCTGCCTCTGGGATAATGAGCCCGTCTTAAGAGGCTAAGTTTCCCTCTGTGTGGTTTGTCTGAATCCCATATTCATTGCTTTACTCCCCTAACACATTTATATAATCGGCCACTCCCCAAATCGCAAGGAAATTTATTTAAAACATTTTCTCCAATTTAAATGGCAATTAAATTAGACCTTGTGGAGACACCTGGGAATGAAGATAAATATTTTATTTGCTTTTTCTTACATAGAAAAACGATGCATCCCAAGAATGCAAACGATGTTTATTTCACAGAACGAGTAGGATTGTCTGTGGATAGCAGGTACATCTACTTACCTTGTGGCTGGAGACAAGGTAGTGGCCAGGCACCTGGCATGGCCTGCCCTACAGAGTGGCCTCTCTGGACACTCTCATGCCTGCATTCAGACAGCCCAGGAAGCAGGCAGGGCAGCTCTCTGGGGCCATCGCAGGCTGTTCCACTGATGTCAATCAGCCTGAGAGCTGGAGGATGCTGACAGCGGCAGAAGGAGGCGGGAAAGAGGCCAGGGCAGTGGGATGGGAGCAAGGAGAACTCAGGAGAGGCCCCCAGGAGGGATCGCTGTAGCTCAGGAGAGCAATGGCCTGGGATCCTCCTATGGAAACTAGAGCCACCATCCAGACGAACGTGTTTGCTGTCAGAGCAGAATCCTATGCACTCCCTCAAATAAACGTTTTGTTTTTCATTCTTGGAATGCTTCATTTTTCTATGTAAGAGCAGAATTATTTATTGTGGCCATCGAAGGAGAGGGCATTTCTGTGAGAGGTACCCATAACTGGATACTGGTGTGGTTATTCCTCACTTGATAACAAGAGGTTCCCACAGAGGGCAGCTGCCGAAAGCCAGGCCGGGCTCGAGGTGAGCGAGAAGAGGGTGCGCACGGATCAGGGCGGGGAAATGCACCAGCCTCCAGCCAGGGGCTTCCTCGGAACCAGGGGCTGTGATGAGCCCACAGGGGACCGGCTTTTGCCCCAGGATGACTCACGGTGGGCTGCTAACAGGCTGTACACTTGGCTCACGGGACACGTGACCTGTTTGTGGACAAGCAGCACATCAGCTTTCTTTGGATTAAGGCAAATGCATTCACATTGGAGCCCAGGACCTTCCCAACCCCCCACTCTGACAAAGGCCCCTCTGGGAAGGATCCCTGGAGCGGTCCGGCAGCCCCAGCTGTGGGGTCTGGTGAGCATCCTGTCCAAGTAGGAGAGAGGTAGTTGCTATCTGGAAAGAGATATATCTATTTTAAATTTCAACTTCTATTTCAGATTCCGGGGGGACATGTGCAGGTTTGCTACATTACTATATTGTGTGATGCTAAGGTTTGGGGTACAAGGGATCCTATCACCCAGGTAGTGAGCACAGTACCCAACAGGCAGCTTTGCAGCCCTCCCCTCCCCTTTCGGATTCCCTAGTGTCTGCTGTTCCCTTTTTTATGTTCGTGAGTACCCAGTGTTTAGCTCCTACTTATAAATGAGAACATCTGGTATTTGGATTTCAGTTCCTGAGTTAAATTGCTTAGGACGGTGGCCTCCAGTTGCAAAGGACATGCTTTTATTCTTTTTTTATGGCTGCGCAGTACTCCATGGTGTATACGTGCCACGTTTTCTTTATCCAGTCCACCGTGGATGGGCACTGAGGTGGGTTTCCCGTCTTTGCAGTTGGAGATAGTGCTTCCATGAACATACAGGTGCAGGTGTCTTTTTGGGCAAAAGATTTGTTTTCCTTTGGGCACATACCCAGTAGTAGAATTGCTGGGTTGAATGGTCATTTTTAAAGTTCTTTGAGGAATCTCTAAACTGGTTTCCAAGGTGGCTGAACTAATTTACATTCCCAGCAACAGTGTATAAGCAGTCCCTTGAGAAGAGGTGTTTGTTTGGAAAGGAGTTTGTTTTGAAAGTAACAAGCAATAAAACTGCCCGTGGATGTGTCTGGTGAACCATGTGGGGGGTCTTCTTGGCATTTTCCTTGGAGCAAGAGAGCTGAGCCACCGTTCCAACCAAAAGACCACCGCACAGGTGTCAGGCTCGGCTGGGAAGGCCGGGCTGTGTCCACCATCAACATCGTTGAAAATGGTGGCTCCACATCACTGGCTGCAGAATGGACCTTCTGCCCAGTGAGTGCTGGGCGTGGCACCCCTCAGTGGCCTCTGACTGCCTCTTGGAGGACTTTGTAGAACACTTGGCCTGGGGCGTGTGACGGAAGGACAGGTTTGTAAGCCCACTCTGTCCTTCAGGTGGCTCTGGGGAGGCTGGACTGGGGCGTGTGACAGAAGGACAGCTTTGTCCACAGCCCGTTCTGTCCTCTGGGTAGCTCTGGAGAGGCTGGACCTGAGAGTGAGGTTGGTATTGGCACCTGAGGCGATGGCTGTGTTCTTGTGCGAGGGTGACCAGGCACTTGGAGATGCTCTGCTGTCTTCCAGAATGAGCCTATCTGCTTTCTAGGATATGGACAATCAAAATTAAGCTTATTAATCAGTTCTATATCAATTCTGAACATTAACGGGGAAAATGAAACAGTCCAGCTTCAGCTCTATGAGAGAACTGCTTTAAAAACGTAGGACCAGAAGTTTCTGAGGACAGAATTCTAGAGGAGTTGGCTGCAGGCATGAGCACATTCTCAGGAGCCACCGGTGCTGAATCGTGGCTGTGGAACCCACAGGGGCACCCGCAACAAAGGAGGAATATGTTCTTGGTGACAAGAAGCCATAGCCCAGAAGATGGCGGGTGGAGAAAGCCCACCCAGCCCTTCTCCAGCAGGGGCGAGAACGGTCCGCAGTGGAGAGGGCCTGGAAGGAGAGGGCACCCACAAGGACTCAGCAGGGAGGTGCAGCTTGATGGGGTGGCAGGTGTGAGATGGGAGAAGTGGGAGCCCCACAGGAGCCCGAGGTCATGGTGTCAGGCCAAGCAGCCACAGGCCGAAGCCACCCAGGCTGTCTGTGGGACTCAGGGAAGATGGGTCCTGAAGAAGGATGGCTGGAGCCCAGCCACAGACAGGACGCTGGAGGGCAGTGTGGGCCGCAACAGTGTGGGTGGAGCAGATGCTGCTTCTCCCAGTAGGAACACGGGAAATGCAATGGGAAACTTCAGGAAAAATGGACAAAGGACTTAGAAATTCATGCCTAAGGGACCACCTACGAGGTGACATGGCTTTGCGTTCCAGGCTGGGTGGAAGAAAAGAGAAGCCAGTGGGCTGGGTGCCAGGACCATGTGCCTTCCGTGCTGCAGGGAGGGCCCGAGCCCAGATGTGTCGGTGGAGAGGAAGGCATTGTCCCCGGCCCCCTGGCCGCACACAGATTAAGTGTTTACATGACAGACACTATGGTCTCAAGGTCCAGTGTCAGATGTCACACGACGGGGACGTCTCAGGCACGGGCACGCAGTGGCAGCTCCGTAGGCATTTGCTGAATGAAGACCATGCTGCTGTTTCAAGCCAAGGCGGGGCTGGCGGAGGCGGACAGGAGAGGAGTGGGTAGGCAGAGGGCAGGCTGCCAGCGCTTCCCCCAGTGCAGCCAGAAGCCAAGAGATTCCACATTTGATGCAATTAGAGAGAGGAAGGGAGAGAGAGAGAGAGAGGAAGGGAGAGAGAGAGAGAGAGAGAGAGAGAGAGAGAGACAGACACAGAGAGAGAGACACACAGAGAGAGAGAGAGAGAGACAGAGAGAGAAACTTCAGGATATTATTTAAAGATTCTGAGGCAGTCAGTGAAATAACTAAACTAAAACTATCAAAAACTGGGAAGAAAGGGAGAGGGGCGAGCCCTAATGTCAGTGATCTACAGCCTCACTTTTCTTACCTAGAGAGAGACAACATCTCCGGTGGGTGAAGAAAAAGAAGGAATAAGTGCGTTGTTAGAATTCAGGAAAGAATCCTGAGAACCCGGCTCCGCGCAAGACCTGGGGGAGGCGGCTGCCTCTGTGCGTGGGCGGCTGGAGCCGGGAACCACCGCCCCTGTCGCACCAGCTCTCTGCTGTTTATTTTATGTTTTCCGTCAAACCGAAGTGCCACTTCGATGAGAAATCGGGAGGAACAGAAGCCCAGACCCCGGGCACACATTCCTTTCCCGGGCCCGATTCCCACTCGGTGGCCGCCTTGGCCGGTGCCCTGCTGTGGCCCTCGGGTCCCCGTCCGTGTCCACCGCTGAGCACCTGCCCTCCAGGGCTCTGCAGCCACCTCCATCTCCATGTGCCCTGCACTGGGCTTCTCCTCTGGGCTCCCTTCTCGTGTGTCTCCCAGCCCTGCACTGGGCTCTCGCCTCCTGTCTGCCCTCACTCCTAGGCGGCCTCCGTGTCTGCCTGGATGGCTGCAGCCTCCATCTCCAGCTCTGGCCTCTCTCCCGCATGCCTGATGCAACTTCCTATTTTTCAAAGTAAGAGCTGGACTGGGCTAACCATGGCATCCCCGTCCGAGTTTGTCACCTGCCCATCAGGCCTCAGTATGGCCCAGTCACATGCCCGTGGCTCTACATCTCATCAGTTTCACTTCATAAATGGTACTGGGACCCGACGCCCCTTCTAGCCCAGGCCTCTGCATCCTACTGCGATGGGGGACAGCAACCTTCTCTGGGCCCCAGTCCTGATCCAGGTGCCCACGTGCTCCCTGTTTCCCACCTCCTGATGCTCCAGCATCGTGTCCTGTGCAGCACTCCAGGCTGGCTCCCCAGCCGTGGACCGAGTCCAGCTCAGGGGCCTTCCCGGCCTTTTGCCAACCAGCCCGTTTCTCCCCTGAGAAGCACAGAGCCTGGCCTGAGTTAGCATCCAGTGGGTCTCACCGGGTGCTTTGCATGCACCGCATTCCTTAGCGGTCACTCCCTACCCCTCCAAACCTGAGCCTGGGAGCATCAGCGTCCCACTGTGCGCACTGGACCGGAGCCTCAAAAGTGGGCCCGTTGTCCAGGGCCCCAGCAAGTCCTAGGCAGATCTGTGTCTGGCTGTTAGGCTGTGGCTTTCACTGAGACCAGGTAGGGACCTTGCCTTCTTGGGTCAGTGGGCTCCTGAGTGTTCTGTTCATTGGAGCTTGTGACTGACGGTGGGGGGCTGACACTGGGGAGGGGGTCCCACTGTGGGTTTCCAGCAAGCACCAGCCCTTGCACTATGTGCTTACTGGGACTGTTTCCCTTAGCCCTGGCCGCACGCTCAGGGCTGTCCTAGCGGAGCCAGAGGACACATGTGCAGGCGGCCTGGGCCATATCTGTCTGCTCAGAGCTGCTCGGAGCCACGGTTCGTGCAGCCGCTCCAGGAAGGTGCCCACAGACTCCGCCTGGCATGGTTAGATGGAACTATTTTTCTTCTGGGAATCAGTAAATTTTCACTAATTTCCCCAAACATTACCAGAGTCTGTTTCCTTAAAGTACAAACATATACAGTATGTTCATCATTTAAAATATCATTTCCTTAATGGTTGAAAATGTTCTCTAGCTGTTTCTTTCGAACTGTGAACAATTAGAGAGCAGCGCATTTCATTTTAGAAATGAGTACTGTCAGTGATCATCATAAGCATCAGATGGCGGGTAATTAAATTAGGGTAATATACCCGTTTCCTTCTAATCGCCGGCAGCCCACAGTGGCTGTCAGAGCTGTGAGTTGCCATGTCAGACCCGCCAGCGGGGCCCACGGTAATGAGGCGGGCTCCAGCTCACGCCCCGCAGATCACAGTCCTAGGACACGCTTAGAACTCACATCTGTCTGGAACGGCGGGGTGCTGAGTGGCTGTGGCTGAGTTGTGAAGAGACTTGCTGAGGTTTGGGGCGTTCGTGTCCTGTCCACAAAGAGGAACCACGTGCTCACCTGTGTGTGTGGAGCTGTGCCTGTGTCTGTATGAGGGTACGTGTGTGCACTGTGAGTCTGTGTGACTATGTATGCAGATGTGTGTGTGAGGCTGCACGTGAGGCTGTGTGTGTGTGTGTTGTGAGTCTGTGTGTGTTTGTGTCTTTGTGTGTGAATGTATGTGTGTCTGTGTATCTGTTGTGTGTGTGTGTGTGAGCCTGGGTGTACGTGTGTGTGTGTGCGTGTGCATGGATGCCTTGCCCCAGCTCTCAGGCTAGGGCTCTGGGCTGGGCCCCCATGACAGGTGTCACACAGGTGTGCCATGCGCCTCTGCCCCAGTGGAGAATCCCAGAGCAGGAACCCACCGGGACAGGGTTGCCACGAGACTCTGGCTTGCTTGTCTCTGGCAGCATTTGAGAAAAGGGGCAAAGCGGCCTCTGTCCTGCCCTGGAGTTGGGAAGTTTCTTCCATAAAGCAGATTCTCTCGCCGGCTGTGAGCCGGGGCTCTCTGTTCTGGGGTGCATTGGCTCAGGATCTGCCGCCTTCAGGGGAGGAAAGTGAGGCTGCATGCCAGGTCCCAGGTGTGAGGGACAGCAGACGGGCTGGGATGGTCCAGGGGCTCTCACCAGCTTTTCTGCTCAGCCCTTTGTGCCGGAGGGCTCAACCTGCCTCATATCATTCCAGAGCCAGCCCTGCCGCTGGGGCCAAGCCCTCAGATCCCAGGTGGGGGCCACCACCAGGTGGGCAAACCCCAGAGATCCATCTCCCAGGGCCCCCTTCTAGGATCCCCCATCCCCACAACCTTGAAACCATCAAGATGCCGGCTGTTCACAAACTGTGTGCAACATCCTGACCTGCAGCCGTGAGGCACCTGCCATCGGGTGGGTGAAAACGAAGGCACCTCATTTGTTGGCTGCAGCTGCTCTTGTGACCAAGAGATCAGAGAAGAATACACAACACCGCGTGGGCCAGAGC